CCTCCTTCCTTCACTCCTACCTACGTCTTTCCTCTCAAGCCTGTGTCTGCGTGCGCGACACAGCATGGCCTCCCACTCCTTCATAGGTTCACTGTTGCCTAGCCATGCGCTACTAAACTAACCAAATCACCGGCCCATCTCACCTTCACCTAATGTCAGCTATCTGTATGCACTGGTAGACGCCAAGTCCTCACCTCTCTTAGGCCACATCCTCTGCACACGGACCACATGACAGACAGTCCGAAGGTAGAGCTTACGGTGCACTTCAAATCTACCATTGGGATACACCCCGCTGGGAGGCACATGAAATGACCGACAGTTCTCTGGCTACGTGGGCACTTGGTCATGCATCAATCTATGGAGGCCATTTGCCTGGGTGAATGTTAGCTACTACACTGAATTGTGCCATGAGGTGAACGAACGACTGAATGAAGCAACGTGGCAGGCATGGGTAGTCCAGCATTCTTCAGGGTTCTAGGCAGTGCCATTGAAAGCCCCATGTTACACATGGCAACGTGTTTATGAGGGTGGAACGGCGATTGAGTAATTTTACCTGTATGCTATGCCTTATTCCTTCCCGCTTTTTGACTTTGTTGTCGGTTTTCCTGTATTTGGGTTGGCTTCCTGTTGTTTTATTATGAATCGTTTGCGTGGGACACAGTTATGTGGAATGAAATCTGCTTTACTCGCAATTATTCAGTCGGATGTGCCTGTTTTGGAAGTGCAATTTACATTACAGGTACGTGCAACTGCACGTGCAACATCTATGGAAAATGTGGATATAACAGTTAAGCTTGTGGCAACGTAAGACTGCGGATAGCATTGGCGATGAAGATTGGACTATTTTGTAGGAAGTCGTTCACTGATGAAGCTCTTCACCAAATCCAGCTCCTATAAATGGAGAAAAAGCGAGGCGATATGCTTTTGTAGGTGACGCAAGATTGATGAGGACTGATCATGTAATGCTAAATTCAAAAGGCAATCATTATGGCCATCGCATGGAATGTAACATTACAACAGACAAAGCGCCCGTGCCATTTGAATGGAGTTTGGCATTTTCACCCCTCAAGGATTTCATTCCTTTTGGATACAACGAACTGCTGGAGGTTCTGGCGGCCCGAAGAATTTAACGACTGAAGTCGAAGGAACAAATAGCTTACTTTCGCCGGCAACCGCCAAAAGGAACAACAGAGATAGGCACTTTGTTACCTACCCTTGTCCTGAAAAGCGAGAAAAATTTAATTGTCCTATGGAGGCCAGGTAAGACGACGAAACTTGCGCCGTGTGCTTAAGACGCCGGAAATTATTAGCAATGATAAACAGGTTGGGGATTTGAAATAAACTTGTCTGCTAGCCAGTCATGTATGGCACAAATGGAGACATTCCCTCGCGCCGAAAATGATACATCCAACTCATGCACGCTTCTTTTGCCATTCGGTTCTGGCAGTAGTACAAAAGGCTTCGTCACACAGACAGTTACATCTTACTGGCTGCCTCATTAAGCCGGTTGGCTGCGACAGCTCCTTTAAGTTCGGATAAGAACGAGAAGAACCGCCGAATTTTAGAGGAAGAAAGAGATGAGGGCCACAGAAGATTATCAGACAACCAGCATGTTGTCGGGCATTGCGAAAAAAACGCAGTAGGTGGACAACTACGGATGAGGGTAGGGATCGCGAGCAAAAAAACAGTCAACCGCCGCAATGTCATGGCGGTAATTAACCGCGAAGTCCTAGTAAACATAGAAAGATGCCAGTAATTCATCCAGAATGATAGATGAACATAGCTGGGAGAGCACTAAAAAAGAGGTACTTCATAGAAGAAAGAGCATGAGGGTCCTCGAGTAGAGTGCATCAAATACACCGTCATAGTGTATACCCGATTTTGCTTCTGACGCCCCAAAGGACAGACTGCAGCATAATATCTCACGTCCGTTTTAAAGAACGAAGGCGGTGCGATCCCAATGGCTTTCAGAACGGTGAGTCGTACCAGTGAAGGACAATAGCATAGACGCGGGAAAAAAGGATATCTACTGTCAAGGGGTTACGGTTGGCTAACTAGCAGATGTTTCTGCTCCGGTTCCAGGAAGGCGTGTCAATAAAGTGCCACGTCGTACACATTTATGTCTCCTCCAAACCTTTTATTGGAGGGTCGTCCTCTACTGATATGTCAAAGCGCAGACAAACAAAGTATTTGTTAGTATGTGAATGTATAAAGTCGGATGACAAAGGCGAATTGCGAGGGTCGCAGTCATGTAAAACATCAGGCGACGACGGGCTGCGGCGTGCCAGTAAGTAAGCCATAGTAATGCCACTGCCTAATGTCATTAAGTTGGCCGTCCTGTGAGCCACCATAATCGCGGATGTATAGAAGAGCTGCCCTTAGCTCAAAGCACATAACAGTCATCCACTTCGATAACTCTGTTAAGCCCGTCACCGGTAAGCATACCGATACTGTTGAACGGCATTAGAGCGCACCGAAGCCAACCCTCTAAGGACGGTTACGAAACAGAAGCCCAGTTGCACACTTGAAAAAGCCTACTTTCGTTCGTAGTACTGCTTGAAGGTGAACGAAATGTGTTTCTAAACCACAGATGTTGATGAAACCTAGGTTAGTTGGAAATCAATCGAGGCCTGGAAGCATAAAATACTCGAGTGGGCGAAGTGACCGAGGAAAGTTCTTAACCATGCACATGGGATTCCAAGGGAACAACTATACCACTTTAAAGGCACTTGATCTAACTCGTATTAACAGGTTAAAATGTGTCAGTCGTGAAGCAAAAGACTTGAGAGTTTTAAAGTTGTGCATTCAGTGCATGAAGAAAAATAGACAAGGGGAGGACACAGTCCAAACTGTCGGTTCAGATGGGTAACCGGCTGTCGCAGGAATAAAAAGGGAACTTTCGTAAGCATTTATCAGTTACGACGCGCGTGGGCAGCTGACTAACATCATAAGGCCTACGATCTCCATGACTAACACCTTAAATTCAGTCGCTGCAAAAGTTCGATAGGGGTTGACACCAGGGAAGTCGGGGATGAGCTCAACTGTTAAATGAAGGGCGGAGAAAGGTGGAAGAGGGCAAATGTAACAGACACATCGGTCATCAAGATGGCTATCGTAAATAGCTACCCCTGGGAATCCATAAAGAAATTGGCCAAGACATTCAAATATACACTACCAGGTAGCAAACGGGCTGGTGAGAAAGAACTAGGCCGAAAGTCCAAGAGCCGAGGTTTCAATATATAGTCGCCGTCGTCGTTAGCACCACCGCACCGCTGCCACTCATCTTCTTCACACCTATTCCTTGGAACTTGTCCCTTCGCCACCAATGAATACGTCGTCGTCGTCGTCGTCGTCGGCATCATCATCGCCATCATCATCGCCATCATCATCGCCATCATCATCGCCATCATCACCGCCATCATCATCGCCATCATCATCGCCATCATCATCGCCATCATCATCGCCATCATCATCGCCATCATCATCGCCATCATCATCGCCATCATCATCGCCATCATCATCATCATCATCATCATCATCATCATCATCATCATCATCATCATCATCATCATCATCATCGTCATCATCATCATCATCATCATCATCGCCATCATTAACATCACCAACTGTCGCCAAAGAATGCCACGGATATATGGAATCGTATCAAATGTAAGCTCGCCAATGAGAACCCACAGAAGGTCATTGAGCCCGGTGACATTAACAGTGATGGGAAGGAGTGCCAGTTTTACTAGCCACAATAAGAAAGTTTGCGGTTAAATGGTGATAGGAAACGGGGCGCTTCCTTGGAGTCAGAGCATCTACGAGGAAAAATAGGTCTCCTGGCCATAGGGCCTGTTAGCAGACGAGGCGAAAACGCTAGCTCTCCTAAAGGAAATCTGTAGTGTTAAGTGGTAAAAGATGCGAATGAGGAGAGAACTGAATCCTATGTACCGTGAGTTTACCCTCTCAACATTTTGAAAGCAAGCAAACTTTCATGATCGGTGGGTGCGGTGGCATCGCCAGCGGTGCCCATGCTGCGTCGGAAAAGTCCTAGTAAAATATCATCTGTCCGAGACCGTCACCCATTTTCTGCGACTTCTAGGGTAGAAGACGCTCTCTGACTTGAAGCGACAGTCCAACTTTATGAAACCCAAGGACGCCCTACAACAAAGCGGAAGAACAACACACGTCGTTTACGCGCCCGATTTATTCCTTTACAGTCAACTACTTCTGAGACGACAGTGGAATGCGACGAACGCTCACAAATGAGGGCGCCAAGGCAGTGCTAGGGACGGACCCCTCGCTTTCGACGGCGGGACACTGTGCATTGCCCGGATACATGTTCGTCTTTGAGGGAATAACCGCACGATCAGCCGCGCAGTGGGCGTATAGGGACATACAGGAGTGTTTTGGTGTGCCGAAAAAGGGCTTGCAACCTGAAAGACGATTTTTAGTAACAACTCAATGACAAGTTGCATCTTCGTGGCTATTTTTTCGGATTGGACTAGGACATACAACCTGGGGACATTTATCGCCCTCCCTCTCAGAAGCCATCTGCACCGTGGAACAACTCTTCAGCGGGGAAGCACCAAGCTCTGATGTCATAACAGCTGAAATCTAAAAGCACGGCGCCCTACCAGGAGATATGGCGACAGGGGTAGGCCAACCAGGACTTCAAGGACGCGACCATAGTCCATCTTTACAAGCGCAAAGGGAATCGGCAACTCTGTGATAACCACAGAGGCATCTCGTTGCTCAATATCGCCTGGAAGATCTTAGTTTGCCTTCTCTTTAATCGTCTCGCAGGCAACCTCGAGAAAGAACTACCATTGGAAAATCAATGTGGCTTCCGACGACACCGCGCGACCGCCAACATGGTTTTCGACGCTCGCCAGCTACAAGAGAAGCGCCAGGAGACGCGGACCCATATCTACACTGCCTTCGTGGACCTGACGAAAGCCTTCAACACGGTGAATCGCGAAGGGCTGTGAAAATCAAGCAGAAATTCGGCTGTCTTGAGCGCTCTACACACACGGCACGTCAGCTGCACGATGGGATGATGACGCGCGTCACGGGCAACGTCATAATCTCCAAGGCATTCGCAGTGACCAATGGAGCGAAGCAGGGCTGCGTGCTCGCTTCCACCCTCTTCAGGCCTATGTGCTCTGCTACGCTGATAGATGCCTATTGTGGTGAGCACCATGGGATACGCACCACCTACAGAAGTGACGATAATCTTTTCAACAGCAAGGACACGCAGGCCAAAACGGAGCTACTTACGACCACAGTCTACGACCTACTCTTCACCGACGACCGCACCAATTTCAAACTGATCATCAACATAAACAAAACGGTGGTTAAGCACAAACCGCCACCCAACACACAACCCTGCACTCCTCCTCGAATCACCGTCAACGGCTAACAACTCAAAACCATGGACAACTTCGCTTGTCTAGGAGGCACACTCTCGCGCAACACAAACATCGACGATGCGGTTGCCCTTCGTCTCTTCAAAGGCAGCCATGCCTTCAGTCGGCTGCAAGCCTCCGCGCGGAATTGCCACGGTCTTCAAACGAGCAGCGAACTGATGATGTACAAGGCCGTCGCCCTGACGACACTTCTCCACGGTGCGGAGATTTGGACCGTCTACTCCAGTCATGGCAGAAAGCTCAACCACATCCGTCTCACCTGCATCCACAGAATACTGAAGCAGAGGTGGCAGAACAGGAAATCGGACACGGGAGTCCTGGGACGGACCGAAATCCTTAAGATCCACGCCATGTTGAGACAACTGCCACTTCGCTCGAGCGGCCAGCTGATGAAAATGGACGACGCTCGCCTATCAAAACAACTCTCCTACGGAAATGTCGCCAGGGGGTGTTCACCGGCCGGAAGGGCAAAAACGACACCGTAAATACAATTTGGAGAACTCTCAAAGGCGATTGCACATCCACTCAGAGACCTGAGAGGTCATCGCCCAGAATAAACCAGCCTGGAGGAGAGAAGTGAAGACTGACGCAGCCACCTAAGAAGCAAACCGGATCACCGCAGCCAAAGCCAAGACAAAAACTCGCAAGTCTCAGACGCCCCTGACCCGCGACATCATCACCCAGTATGCCTACGATGTCAACGAACATTCTGCGCACGGACTGACCCCGGCAGTCATCATCGGACTCAATGTACCAACCATCCGACAATCGTAACTGTTGCCTCCACAACCGCCCCTGCTCCAACCCCCAAATCAATCACAAAGGCGCCCACCCTCGCCATCGCTGTTCCGAACCCCCGTGCCGCACTACCGTCGATCACCGCCGCCTCCATCACCTCTACCACAATCACCACGCTGACGATGAACACAATCATCTCTACCACCCCCGGCACCGACCGAAACGGTCCTGGCGTTTTTTCCGCCACCAACACACTATCACCACCCCCACCTACAACAGTGTGAACTCGGCCTACTACCTGTCGTCATTGCGACCGCACATTCGCTTTACACATCGGCCTGGTCAGTCATTTGTGGGTCTGTCGCAGAGACTAGCGAACCGGTGCATGGAGCACCAACGTACACCAGATGTGATTGCTGCAACTGTCCGCATTGCCTTTGCACGTTTGGTCACCACAAAAGCCTAATAGGTCGCGTGCGCATCCATGAAAACCTGAGGTAAATCACAGCAGACACGGCCACATCATAAGACGCTCCCCATCAACACACGCATCACGCATACACCCCTCCAAAATTCCACAACACCAACACCTCTCATGTAAGTGGGAAGTGTGCTTTTAGGCTCCTTTCACTGTGTGGCTCCTCTGTTGCATGTAAGATCAGAGCGTCCTATTCCCCTCGTGTGAAATTCTGGTGTGCGTTTGAGGGGGGGGGGGGGTCAGATCGCGCATGTGGCGCACGCGGACGAGCTCCCTAGCTGTCAGCCACTGTGCCCATTTTCCTAACTAAGCGACTGACCCACTCGGACAGTGACTAAGGCCTGGGAATGAGGAGGGAGAGTGAGGTCGACGACTCAGCGCATTTTCCTCCCTATAAACAATCTGATGCGCTTGAAGCTATCACGATGCACTAAAAACCATGCATAGGAAGGTTGCCCATTGACGGGATATCTTGAACCTGGCAGTCCGCTCAGTATATTTTTCTCTTCAGCTTGTCGGGCGATGGAGGGAGATAGCCGGACTCCAAGGGGTGCTTGACGTCGAAAACCAGCAGTTGGGGCTATTTCTGAAGGGTCAGACTGATCCAATCCAAGGGGAAACAGACTTCTGACTTGGCCGATACAATCGCTTGTGTGGACGGTGAAGTCGGCTCCTTGAATGGTGTTTCTGCATTTTCTATATCTTCCTTACGTGTCCTCTGTCCCTTTTGGCGACCTCTGACCCACAGAAAGGCTACCTAGTTTTCCTTATTCAAACGGTCCGTTGGCTTACTAAAGGATTTTCTTGTCGGGCCACACAGCCAATCCACTTTTTGACGACTTGGATTCATACTTTAAATACCAGACTTTCGGCACCATGGCGAGGACCCTAAGGGACCTACTATAGTTCGAAGGTACCGCCTTCCCTCTAACGAAGCTCAAGAAACTGCGTAAAGCCTATCCGAATGACTCCCTACGCGACTTTTGAGTGGATGGGTAGTGAGCTTCAACAGCAGGGTGTGCCTCGGAGTAACAGAATGTCGCCTATGAACAAGTTTATAGTGACTTCGTTTTCTAAATATAACCATTCATCTTCCTTGCTTGTGTGCTTCCCGGCCAACAGGGTTGCCCCACTAATCAAAAGCATAAGGTCTTCTCAGCGGCTTGGTGGGTGTCTATTCAGACCACGCCGCACTCACTCAGAGGACTTGCAGCTTTGTTTTAAAGTTGCTCGCACCACGGTATGCAAAATATTCATGTGTGCGTGTGTGTATATGAGTGAACCGGCGGGGGTGTAGGGGTGCCCAACGGTGGGTCCATGTAACGGTCGCAGTAGGTCGCTCGCTTGCTTGCAGGTGTAGACTATGCCCAGCGTCCATTTGCTGGCACCCAACTCTCACCTGTGACTCCCCGAAACTAGGATCTGCCTAACGACCACCCCCCGGTAGCTGCCTCGACCGGCGGGCTAAACCAGATGAGGGTATCCGTGTGTGCATCTCCGCACACGGTAATTGCGGCTCCGCTGGCCGGTATTGGCACCTCCGTGATGAGACTCCACCTGGAACACCGTAGGCCACTAAGTAAGTGAGCCCCCAGGTAAGCGAACGTTGCTCTGCTGCCTTTGCTTTTGCTTGTTCTTGTCTGCTTGCTTTCTGACTGCTTGCATGTGTTTGTCCTTGTTGAAAACTAAATGCCGTTCCGTTGAATTTTCTCTGTTGCCTTTGCTTTTTGCTATTCTTGCCTGCATGTTTTTTTGTCTGTGTCTGTCCTAAATGCCGTTCTGTTGAATTTGTCTGCAAACCATTCATATTTCAGTAGCCAGTTAGTTTAGAGAGAAACGGAAAAGCTCTGCATCCCATTTCTCTACCCTTCCCCCCTTCTAGCTTACGGCGATGTCGTAGGCTGTCCCAGGCTAACTCGGGTCGCTCTCCCATTAAACAAAAGTCGTGGCCCATAGTGGAGTTCGGCAGCCGTCTAAGACAACTGAACAGCCCCATTGAGGGGGAGCACTGTTCAGCCTCGCGAGGGGGGAGGGGTTAGAAAAGGTGTCCTGAACATGTGCTGGGATCGTGTCCTCTGCGCGCTGACCGGTGGTTCGCAGACACAAAACACACGACCGAAATCATCAAAGAAGAAACAATACTCTCACTCTCTCTTCCACCTCCTCTTTCCCGCCGCCCCACCCGCCAGAATGGTCGGGTGAGTCTGCCCACTCTGGCAGCCTGGAATGTTCGTTCCACTTTCGGCAATCCGAGGGGCAACCGACCAGAACGGAGGACGGCGCTATTGGCTCGGGAACTGGAGAGCTACAAGGTGGACATCGCTGCACTCCGTGAGACCCGGTTCTCCGAACAAGGCCGACTGGAGGAGGGGGGTGCCGCCTGCACCTTCTTCTGGAGCGGTCGTCCGAAGGCAGAGCGACGCGACGCGGGCGTCGCCTTTGCCATCCGGAATGACATCGTGGGACGACTACCCTGTCTGCCGCAGGGTATCAACGATCGTCTGATGAGCCTCTGCTTGCCTCTCCAGGGAGGCTAATTCGCCACCATAGTCAGTGTCTACACTCCCTCAATGAGCAGCCCCGACGATGTGAGAAACAAATTCAATGTCTTTCTTCTTGTTTGACAGGTATATATAGGTTGTGGGCATTTATCGTTTACGTTCAAGGGTGGAGCGAGGCTTGGCATACAAGTATGGCATTTGCATTTTGCCCCTAAAACGGGCCACGAGGTAGACGAGCTGGACTAGCATGGGGTTAGATCAGAATCCGGAAGGCGTTATTTAGAATGTGCGCCCATAGCAAATGCCAACCAGTTTCAAGCTCACGCGCGCAAATTGGGACCCGAGCCGCCCCTTTTGTGTTGCTTAAAACCCTGATCAGTGTACGTTGTGGACCTGAAGGATGTGGCGGTACGCCTGGGTGCGGGCATTCGTTGTACCAGCCGCCTGCGTCCTCTCTCGCCTCCGGTCTTTTTCATTCTGTTTTGACACTGGGTCCAGGTGGGGGAGGAGGAGAGAGTGCGGTAGATGTTGGGTATGTTTGCCATCACTATAAACTAATTTCCCCGTAAGCCACCGTCCCTGATCTCACATTGCTATGAAGCATACGGGGGAGATTATCGCAACGACGGTCGAACTGTCGGTAAGGCATTCGTAAACTGTTGTAAATCAGGCTCTAAGGGCACAACTCGATGAAAGGAGTCTCCGAGTGCAAGACAAGCAGCGTGTATGTAGACAGCAGCGCCAAAGCAGAAGTAATCCGCATATCAAGGCCTCTTATTATATATTTTCTCCAGGACGACTAGACATGGAAATAGGCGAAATATGAGTGAATAAACGAACAGCTATGTCTCCACAGGCCAATGATCCCATAGTTTGTAAGTCTGCAACACACTTGAAGTTTTATGTCTTGCCCTATGATATCGCTCGATAGGAGGGGCACAATACGGTCTCTAGGAGTAAATGTCAGGATTTCCGATGACGGCGATAATGATGAGGACTAAATGAACGGTTGAAGTGATGGAAGCCAATAGAGGCCTTTAAATATAAATAACGAGGACGAGACTCGAAGGTGCAGTGCTGACTCAAGCCAAATTCGAACGAAATCACTCAATTACCAAAAGGAGTGATTGAACAAAGAGGTAACAAGATCTCCCAGGTGGCTATAAAAAAATAAGCAACGATGCCCAAAAAATACTATTCGGAAATGATCCAATCGTTGTGTATCCTCTCGGGGGTTTCTTCAGCTTCCTGTACTATTTGAGAAAGCGTTCTTGCGGTATTCTGCAAGAGAAGTTATTGTTTGGCGAACGGGTCCAAATAGCGGATAAATTTTAGACCAAGATAGTTTCTCAAACAAGATGCCCAGTTGAGAAGCCTTATAAAACCATCGAAAAAAATAGCTTACCCTTTCACTTGACGTATGTCCCATGCCCGGTATTTTGGATAGGGTGATGTTTGAAAAGCCCATGTTTTTCAGCATCGTGTTTGTTTCAGAGCCCATGTCAAAGGGTACTATGGGGTCCATGGTCCCGTGACACTGGAATATGGGGAGACTCTTGTCAGCCTCCGCAAGCTAAAACGGGTAACGAAAAAGAATTGATACTCTGTAGTGATATGAGTTCCGCACTCAAAGATTAATGTTGTATGAGGAAACTAACATAAAAAGAACAAAGAGCTGAGATAATATCAAGTTCGAAAGTCTTCGTGTAATCCCGTTGGACCGCACAATAGGGTGACTTGGCAGTTCGACAATCGTTGCCGACGATGT